AATGACAGAGACATTGCCTCTGGGCCAAAGCGCCACGAGAACAACAACACATCTTCTACAATAAAGCAGTTTTAAGAACTTACCTTTTGTCAAATTTTTACTTCACATTATCTGATGCCAACATTTCAACCATCCTTCACAGAGTCCCCAGTCTGTGTCACTCTCCCTGAACCCCACAACCACAGCTTTCACGAAACTCCTATTTGTGTTTAACTGTTAAGCCACACAACTTTCATGACAAATACAAGTTCACTGCTTAGCTCAATGACAAACCACGACAGCAGAGGCTACAACACGCAGAGCTCCCCACAAACACTGTGGTCCAGCATACAACTACAACACGTGCAGCCACTACATCCCAAGGACATTACTCCTGAAAAGAGAGAAAAACCTTCATTTTCACCAATTACACTTCTTTCACAAAGGACCTACTTCTTATCCATTACTCATAATTACATCACCACATTACACTGCCTAATAAATAAACTACAACTCATTACACTGTAACATACCCTATTATCATGCAACTTCACACTATCAATGTTCCTGAAGCTGCATCTCTTCAACACAACTCTACACACAAAATGTATCAATCCCCAAAAACACAGATCCCTGTGCCAGCATCCTACCCCCACAGTCAACACAAACAGGGTAAACAACAACTGATGACACCACATAACATCACGCCTATCGATCAGCATCTTACTCAAATTCCTCACGTACACCACTAACTAATGCAACCACACTGCATTAACAACAGCAACTTAAACCCAAGCCTTTGAAACACTTCTCTAAACTACTTTAACTCTCATCACACTCACTTCATTCACCTACAAACCTTCACATCTTCCGCTGCTAAACCAACAACACCCAGCTCTACCTCACTACACAATCCTGATTCACCTAACATTTCCCTCCTTCAACCACAACCTTCACATGGTGGAGCACTTCAAGCACACAAATGAACCTAGGACCTATCCATCAGGTTCTTAATGCCCCTGGCACTACCTCCCTATGCAACCGCCACTTCAGAAACCACCATCAAAGACATTCACATCACCAGACTCAAACCAAACAACCCCTCGGTTGTGCCCACAAGCCTAAGCAATACCAACTACATAGAGTCAGCCTCACCTCCACAAGTTGACTCCCAGACTGTCAGGTGTTGGAGTTCTTCCCTGCGCCTTCAGCTCAGTGATGGCCATCTCACTGTTGTTCCAGCCTTCTTGCAGGGAGTCCTACTGGACAGCACTCCTCCCAGGTATTCCATCGTCCTGTTGGGCTACAGCAACACATGTTAAACATGGGATACGCAACAAATATGAGGGGCTGCAAGGATCCACCACAGTTCAACAATCTCTCAGGAAAGAAGCTACACCTCAGTCTGCTGGTCCTGCTTTTGATACTCCACAGCCATCTTCCTGTGGGGAGACTTTGTCCCACACTCCTCTGCAAAGCCTTCTTCTCCACTGCCATGACACGGGAGGACAGAACTCCCTCCAACAGGAGAACAGCCGCTCAGTGTGACCACAGCGGAGGTGAGGAGTACCCTCCAAAGGATCAACACACATAAAGCTGCTGGTCCCGACAACATCCCTGGGCGGCTGCTTAAAGACCGCACAAACCAGCTGACGGAGGTACTGACACTCATCTTCCATACCTCCCTCCAATGGACCTCTAATTTTCTTCAACTACACAGCAACAACATAGAGGTCCTCCTCAATGATATTACATCAACTTTATCCAAAACCAACTGCTTCTCCATTTCCACTTACACAATATCAACCGCCTTGACTATTGCAACTCCCTCCTCTTCGGTCTCACCCACAAGTCTCTTCGTACACTCCAACTGCTTCAGAATTCAGCCACCCACATCACTCCTGTCCAGCAACAGCTTCACTGGCTCCCAATCAAGTTCCATATTAACTACAAGATCCTGCCACTCACATTCAAACCCATCCACAACTCTGCTTCACCACCACGGGGTATACAGCTTTCACTCACTCTATAACTCCCATCTTTAGGAACGTCACTTCACTTTAAGGTATGGTATACCTTAGGATATGTATTACTACTACATTTCTTCTGGTCTAAGTGACCCCCAGATCACCCAGACTCTCAAATCCACTTAAGCTCAGAAGTCATGAACCAAGTGTATCACAGCAACCACCAATTACACCACTTCCACATACAGCATAATAAAGAGCTACATGACATAAAAACATGTTGACGCATGTCTCTAATCCAGGAAGTTCACAACAAAATCTGCCCAAATCACATTACTTCATATGTCTGCATAAAACTAACAGAATGTTCCTCTGACTCAAAACAGTTGATATGATTATGACACTCACACAAAACAAATCAGAAGTGTGTCAACTGTCTGCAAAACACAGACAGACAGATACAGGACAAATGTTCAGGATGTGACACACGCAACATGCACGTGTCCAACAGAAACAAACACCAGGAAAGGCCTAAAAGGAGTGAATACTTCACCCACAAAGCATTTTTTTCCTATTGTATCCCATAAATACAAGGTGTAAGAGCTGCCCACTTCAGCTCATCTCTCCCCCAGACAGACAGGACTCACTCCAAGACCTTGTCATACCCCAAACAACAGGACTGCGGACTTACAAGAACAACAGAGGGTTGTTCATCAGCTTAAAAGAAAATCAAGACAATCCAACACACTGGATTACGTCTCTCACTTTGCTCACCACAAAAACTATTGGACTATACCTCTGCATTTGTTTACAACAACTGCTAAACAGATCAAGAAAGTGCCTCACCCAGAGGGGAAGCACCCCCTTACCCCACAGCTAAGGGCATCAGCTCTTCCATGCCAGTTAACACTCAACTCACCAACTGCCCACAGTCGTGACTTGTCTTCTTTTCCACCACCAGGAAGCTGTAGGGTCAGAATACATTAATATCAACAACTACCAAAGCACATTTATTTCTGAATGTACTATATGGTACTGATCTTATTTTACCGGATCCTTACCCATCGCACCAAGGGCTGATCGAGCTAAAGTACCTGTACTGTGCCTGTACTACATCATTGTAAAATCATTGAAAATCATTGCAAAAACAGTGTGTACAACACTCCAAAGCACCGCACAACGGTTGACTGTAACCTATAAATGCTCTCGAGAACAACTGTAACCCCACCCAGCTCCATGTATGTATGAAAGCAAACACAGAAAACTATATTTACTTTAAAAACTTTATAACACATTTTAAACAAAAAAATGCATCAGTATCGACTTTAAATATCAAATCCAGGCTATACTGTCTGTTAACCTCCTGCAGTTTTACAGATTTGAATACAAACACATCTGAATCGCACAATTCACAGCCATCTCTGCTGCCCCTGTGTGGCGAAGACTACACATTTCCCCGCCACTAAAATAAAGACACTAGTCACAAGTTTCTCTATCTTACAGTAAAAAAATGAAACCCAAAAACAACACTTCATTAAACAACCTTAAAAAATAAAACTCTTGATACATTTCTCATAACCGTCAAGTTAGCTCAAATTATATGATTATACAATTTTCCCGGGTCACGGTTAAAAGGTCCATAAACTTTCAAATAAAATATATTTCAATTTGAAAATTTCTCCAATAACTTTTTTCCTTTTTGTTATAAATCACCTATATGTAATACAAAGAAATCATCAAAAACAATGGAAAATAAAAACATTTGAAGTAACAAAAAGGGTCACATTATTGTCTGGGACATTCAGGTAAGCAAATACATTGTCAACAATAAAATGTGTAAAAAAAAAAAAGTCTTTTCCTCTTATCTTAAAAACTATTATTAGCTAACGCCAGGTGGCTTGAAGACATGCAGATGGTTAACTTACAAAGGATGATACATGTTCTTTAGAAACTACACCTATCTTCAATTTATCTGCTTCGCTCTCAAAAAACAAGATCCCGATGATTGTACTCAGTATTTACACACTCGCACGTCAGGACTACAACATAGAAGTCTGCAATGTTTGACATTTTGGTTTTGCATACAATTAAAGCAAACAAAGTAAAATAAACAAAAACCGGGAGAGCGCAGATTTCAGGGGGGAACTCACTTAGCCCGCCCCCTGACTGGCATGGCTCTCTTTGCATCCCCCCTCGTAATCACTACAAATGTCAGAGGTCACTTGCAAGCATGCCTCAGGAAACCCTGTTTTCAAACCTTAAAGAAGGAAATGGGGGAGGGAATAAGTTTGGCTAAAACAAGTTACTACAACAAAACATCAGCAGTCAAATCTGAAGAAAACTGTACCTTTTTTTTCTTACTACTAAAACTACTGTACATTACACCCTAACATTCTCTTCTTGGTCAGAAAACTGTCCCAGTGCAGCACCACGGTCACATCTGGCTGAAAACACTTTTCTTTTTCTTTTTTTTCTTTTCTTTTTTTTACATACAACTTCCAAAGCGGCCTCAACACACACACGCAGGTCCTACATGAATTAGGATGGGGTAGTTCTTAAGTTCTGCTGTGGGAGGTTCTATCTCCTTCTGCAGTTATAACCCCTCTTTCTCACTGTACCACGGGATTTCTTTATCATTTACTTTCAGTACAGAACTGCACCACAGTGTAGTCCACAGAAGGACACTGCACGTTTACTTCAGCCCCTGGGTTGATGTCTTCAATGCACAGGCACGGTCCAGAACCCTGAGGATCTGACATAAGAACCAAAACACAGCAGTAACTGCCCATCCCTTTTCACACAAATCCTACTGTGCCTTCTTTACATCACGTAGAACTGAACGTGTTCTGCGCCTACTCCTTCATTAAAACCCAACGGTTCCAGGTCACACTTTGTCAAAACATCTGGATCCT